GTTGTACTCTGCAGTTGAGCAATCAATTATCTTCCACCCAGTGTGGCAACTGTCGCATACGGGTAGGTATGCTTCGAATTGGCGTGTCTGAGTTAACGTCTCAGCCCAGAGCAGTGCAGAAACCTGTGTAAGTCGAGATGAGGCTTTGAACCTTTGTGTACCTCAAGACGTAAGGTAAGACGCCGGAGCAGGAAGGCGTTGCACAAGAGCCGAAACGTGGGTGTGGGTGTGGCTAGTGCGGATGGTGGTGCTAAGAACTTGCACCGGCGCTGGCGCGGTTTCTGAAATTTGCCGCTGTTGATTGGTGCCCTAGTTACTCGTACATGTGAATGTGGAAGGGAGTGGCTGGAATTCAATATCAACCAGCTTGAGGCCTGATGCAGATGACACGCAGACACATACTCCGTACACCTGACTATTGTCAGGAAAATACATGAATGAGGAGAGACACTCGGATGGAGCGGGAAGAGGAAGAGAGGGAGCAAGTAGGAGATACCAACTTGGAAGGCAAGGAAGAGCAAAGCAATAGGTACGGGTACGAAGGAGACGGAAACGGGTGGCGGCGGAGAAGGAAGGAGAGATGCAGCATGTCGCACCTGCTTCGTCTATCAAATCGTCCCGTCCGCTCCTTCCCTCCTACTCAATTTCTCAGCCTACCGGCACCTGCCCACTTCACTCAATGGAATGTTCCTTTCTTGCCTGACTTACTGCTTTACCTTCTCGTCCTGGACATGAAATGGATGGTTTCTTCCAAACATCATCTCAGCAATTCACCTTCTACCTGATCCTACCATGTTCGACTGTCTCAAGGATGCAAATCTCTGCCAGCCACTCTAGCTGCTCTAGCTTCTCAAGCACGCTGGGATCTGCCCTCGGCCTGACGATTGACGTGACACCCGAACCCGACTTCACCTGAAGCTCGAGCTTTCTCCTCCTCGACAGCTCAGACGCTCTTTTCCAAGGAATCTAGTCAGCGTGAGCAACAACGGCAGCCGGCGGGCTCTCGGTGCAACAGACTAATTGGCCCATTGGGTTCGTACGGATAGATCAAGCTGGCATCAAGCCACCAATTCGTGTCCCACTTCGTTCGAGAAGACTGAAGGTTTCCGCTTCGCACGCTCGGCAACTTAGCAACACTCCAGCTTCATGCCCAACCCCATGTGCTTCGTCTTTGGAGATGGGATGACCCCTCGACAAGGGTTACCGCGGATCATGCAGCCCACTACGAATATCTGCCCGCTGTGAGCTCAAGTCTTTCTCTCTCTCTCCATCTCCCTTATTCTCTCCAACCCAATGACTGAGCGCGCGCCTAGTTTGGAAAGGTCAATATGGTGCCAGACAGCAGTTCGCCATCCGAAAGCAAGTTGGCACGTTGGCTACTGGCCGTCAGTTCCAATCTCGACGTCTCCCGCAGGTCATTGCCTGCGGGGCGAGATGCGATGCATGGTGCCGAGCGTGGTTGGCGTCGCCCGCAGTGGGACGCAGATGCAACTTTTCACCACGATTCATGTCCATCACCAATCAATCGTCGATATCTCAAGGTCTCTACGACCGAACCGCATTGAGGGCAGATGCCCTTTCCTTATGCAGCAGTAAACCACAGCAGCTACAGAGTCGTATCACGATTTACCTTTGCGTTTAGTCGGCCACCGTCAAACGAAACACCTCATACCCCTGCTGGTGGGCTGGGCATCCAGGCGATAAAGACTGGGGTATCGACATGGTCCAGGGGTCATGTCGTTCTGACTTGTCATCATCACCAGGACCAGCTGCTGCCGCACCACTGCCCAAACCGGCCGACTGTCCTGATCCTCCCGCAACGATTTGGATTTCGTCCGATTCCATCCCATCCTCCGTATCCATTGTTGACTAGGTAGGAGCAGTACCGGCAACTTGTATCTCCAGTCAGTCAACTGTACCACGTTCTTCTGCCTTGTGCATCTTGGTGCAAACGCGGCTCTACACAACATCACTCAGACGGTCAGGATTGTCCTGTGAGCTGCGGCATAATTAATTGCAATTGGCTGCTAGTTTACATGCTTGAGACCGCAGCGAGGTCCCTTGCATTGACGTGGCAGGCTGCATTTCTCCAAATTACCGTCCAGAACCTGACTGGTTGGCGGGCAGTGTCTGCGAGACCGGACTGTCGAGTTCCCCTCGCTCCTCAAACGACGGAACGCGTGTTTGCGCATCGCATGTCATTTGGCAGCGTTCGCCTCCCCACACATCCATCTTAATGTCGCCGTCGCCATCGCCTTCGCATTTTACTGAATCTCCAATGTTTATGCGCACCAAGCGGTTGGATCTGATGGCGCATGGCGCATGGCTCAAGGACGAGTCGAGGTTCATTCACCCACGAGGTTACCCGAATTTCACGCAGCATCCCTTGCCTTAACGAAGTTACCTTCATCTTAATACTTGGATGGCTCACTCGGCGGCTATCCTAAGCCATCGTCAATGCAAGGTACGCACGTATTGAAATCTACCTTATTCCACCAAGCTTCTGGGCCTTCAGACTTCACTCTCCAGCCAACTTACCCTTGAAATCAATTCGCGATATCTTGATTCGTCTGTCCCATTGTAATCAATTATCACAGACCTTCTATCGGTATATGTACAGTCGTCCCACACTCGTCGAGAAAACTCCGTTCCGCAGGTCCTATAGGCCCCATTTCACTTCAGATCATTCGCTTGTCTTTGCCCTTGGAAGATCTCCTCCATACTCATGTTCACTTTGAAGCTGAACTTTACGCCTGCTTGCGGCAGACTGGTGTTCTATGCGAGCTATTAGTGGTCTTTCATACTGGTAAACAGCATTGTGATATTATGCTGATCGGTTGAAGTGCACCACACCGGACACAGCCCAGCCGTTTGCTCAGCTTGTCAAGCCAGGCACAGAGCTGACTGAGCCGATTTGCATTGACCATGTTCTTTGACTATAAGGGCAATGCCGACATTCAAGGCGAACATCGTTTGCTACGTCCTTCTGAAGGCGGCAATGGTTTGTCTGCTCATAGCCAACTTGTGAAGACTAAAGTCGTGCCCACCATTCAGCCAGCATTAACATCGGAGATGAGGCGCACGGCGCTTGACCGGGGTCTGCCTGCGTCAGCCCAAATACAACCTGTCCGTCATGAGCAGGCTGAATTTTTGAAGTTCTGAGCCAGCTCAAAATGCCCCGGCTCGACTTGCCAATTGAGTGGATTCAGGGCTGGCCGCAAGTCATGTCACTTGGCATCTTAAATTGGCGTCCCCAAGAGCGCTTTCGCATCCTGAAAATGCACGTGCTGATGAGGAGGGGCTTGTCAAATGTCGGCCAACTTCTTTCTTCACGAAGTTTGACTGCCCAAAGACCCTCTCGGTCAGGTCTTTCCGAATGGCCCCCCATGGTCATACATCAATCAATTAAGTCAGATTGTCATTCGTCCCCCCCAGTTCTGGAGCAAGCGAGCTGCCCCATCAAGAAGATCAGTCCGGGACAGCCCAGCCAGACTCGGCACTTGGGCCATTAATACCACAGTGGATGTGTTGTCCAGTGACATCATAGTAGTTCTTTCGCGCATGGCGAAAGCTCTGACGAATTATCGTCGTGTGTCCGGCCGGAGTACAGTCGAAAACCAGGCAAACGTAGCCTCGGATCTATATCGAGTACAATCACCACAACTGTCGTCAAACTGAGTAAATCGACGGCGAAGGATAAGTCTCTTTGAGCAAGGAGCAACGAAGATGATGATTACGGCCACATTATGGACGACCTCCAGCGACGACTCCACGGACCAACAGTAGACGAGCCCACTCATCAAAGGTTCGGGAAATTCGCGAAAAAGGCGCGACGCGTCTTTATTTAATCTCACATAACCCCGTACCAGTCCCAATTCCCCATCTTCAAATAACCTATTACCCAACTTCAACTTGGGCCATGCGGCCCAATCCATGATTCCCCCCCCCCCCAAAAGGCCGACAGGGACAACCCCGGCCGCTTCGAGCAAACACGTCGACGAACCACCCGTATCCGGACATCGGATTCCTGTCCGGGGATCCTTCGTGTGCCGACCCAAATGTGTGTTCCGCAGGACCGTACCAGCGTACGTATCCGTAGGGTTCGCAGGTAATAAATCGGCAGAGGGGGGGAGCGGGAAGCAACCCACATCCGAGGGGGGAAAAGTCCACGCGTTCGACTATGCGAAAGTGGTGTTGGTCGGTATGCGGAATTACGTCCAAACGGGGTTCCCGGCGATCTCGAACCAACCAGCCGGGGACCTGGACCAAGTTTTTGGTAACCATTTTATTGTTGGATTTTTTTTTCCCCCTGTTTGCCTCGCCTCGCCTTGCCCAGCAGCCAGCCCTGTTCTCGTCCAGTGATTCCAGTCTGAGCTCACCGAGTATTCTAGAAGATTTCCAAAGAAAAATCCGGCGGTGTGGATCGAGGGACAAACCCGTCAATGCAAGGGATCCGTATGCCCGGCCAACTCATTCGAAGAGCAATATCAAAGTCACAGCTAGCCGAGGGTCTTACAAGAAAAGCTTTGTCCAGACTGCAATTGCCAAGTTGCAAGAACTTTGAAGCTTTGTCCACGCCGCGGTGATGGCTTTTTTCTTTCTTGCTGGCAGTGAGATTTTTCTGCTGTCGTGCCACCGGAATGCAGGATGATTTGTCCAATTCATCAGCCTCGGGGGAGAGATCCATTCGGGAAAGCTCTTTGATGTCGGAATGTATTCAGTCAGCTGACTGTCTGCGGTTTTCCGGTGGCTCCGTGTTCATAGCCCGTATTCTCCGGGTTTGTCGGGCTACTGAGTCTATTGTCAGCAGCGGCCGCCTGTTTCCATGGAAGTTTATCGGATGCTTCGCGGCTTGGCTGTCCCCCAATAACATGCCGAATCCGAATAGGCGTCAATGTAGCGCCTTGATGAGACACTTTCTAGCCGGTTTTCTGCGCCAGTATCACATGGTGGGTGAGATGTTTGTAGCCGTGTAACTCAGAATTTTATTTCGACGTCATCTATAGTTTGATGGAGATATTGTATTCGTCCAGTCCAAGAGCAATAGCTGTGATTACTCCGCTGTACGCAACCAAGATGCCCATCGTTGCCATGGGTCCAACATTCAGTGTCGGCACCGTCATGTTGACGAGTCCGGTCAAGACGTTTGCGATGAGGAACAAAAACAGGCCGTTGCGATTGTAGGCGCGGAATACCCTACTGGTCGCCGTATGGTACGCCTCCTTCTCGGTCTTCGCGTCTGTCGCATTATAGAAGGACGGGAAGAAGGAAGTGTCCACTAGAGCGTAGGCTAGAAGTTGTGTCGAGTTGAACGCCGCTGTCCACAGGACATAGGGGAGGTTCGCGAGACGACGTGAGACGTTCAGACCGTCGCCGTAGCTGTTGCTCGTGGTCAAAAAATATAGCCCTGTCCACACAGCAGACCATATTGCCATCATCATGAGAAGCGTCTTGCGCTGAGTAGCAGGAGAAGAATCGCTTTTGGTGTTGAGACTCCGAGGCAGGACGTACATGCCTGTATCCTGTCCCGCAAGAAAGATGGCCAGGTAGCCGAAGAAGCTGAAGATACCTTCTCGGTTCTTTGAGAATAGGTCGGTCCTCGGGGCGGTCAGGATGTAAGCCTTGAGGTCGGTGCTCTCCAGAGCCACCTGATACAGCACACTCAGGATGATTGCAAGAGCGGCATAGCTAGGCACAATCTTGAGCGCAGATTGAAAGAGGGCGACAAACGGCGGCAGGAACCCCAGTGTGAAGAAGAAGTTCCAGTGAACGCCATACTCGGTGACATGTTCGGCGTAGTCGAGACCCTTGACGCTGAGCAAGCGGATGACGCCCAGGACGAGTAGCGGTAAGGAGTGGCGCATCGACTGCAGCAGACGTGTTGTCAGGGGTATCGATCGACCTTCGGCGCGCTCTTTCAAGACGGGCCGAGCAGCGACAACACCGGCGCTGAAGACGAAGGACCCGACGCCCATGTCCATCAGCGATGTTCCCCATGTCTCGACCTTGGCGAAGCGGCGCGGAAAGAGGCGGAAGTCGACGGCGAGGATGGCGATGCAAGTGATGACCAGCATGCTACCCCGGTAGTGTGTGAGGAAAGGCTTCACGGGTAGTACGGAGAGCGGCCCCGCGCCGGAGCCGGCCTTGGGCTTCGCATTGGGCGGTATAGCGGGCTTCTTGCGACTGACGCCGAAGTTGGAAGGCAGGGTGTAGATGAGGACGGCGGGACCGAGAAGGAGGGCGCAAAGTAGCAAGGGGGAGGAGGCGTAGAGGGTCGTGGAGAGGAGGATGGCGGTAACGTTGAGGAGGAAGTCGGCAGCAGCTCCCAACAGCGTGTAGGGTTTGAAGAAGGACTGGCGTGATTGGAGTACAGACCACAGCAGGATGGCGATCTGGAAAGGAATGCGGATGTCAGCAATTTGCTTTGTCTCGATGCATGCAATGCGCGGGGCCGCGTGGGATGTGAAGGGGGGCAGCAGCAATAGGGGATCAGAGGGTCAGGAGGGCAGATCAGAGTTTCTGTTCAAAGAAGATAGTTACGCACGGGAGCAACTGCAGTCACATAGTTGACTTCGGAGGCGGAGCCGCCAGAGAGGTTGGAGACAAAGTCTTCCTTGAGCTTCTTGTAGCTCGCGGCCGTAGCGTCGGACATATTTGCGATGGGTCGAAAGAGAGTTTGGTTTCTTTGGTTTCTGGGAGAAACAAGGAATGTGGGAGATGTTCAGTGCATGTCCAAAGAGACGAGAATGGTTTTGACGACGGCGAGCATTGCATTTGCCCGGTTCAGCGAAAAGAACAAGCTGTTCGTTGTTGCTCTTTTGGCGATGTGGTTTTTACCGGTGATTGCAACGTCAACCTTTCTCGGACGTTCTTTCTCTTGTCCTCTCCACCACGGGGAAAAAGACGAGACGAACTCTGGCCAGAAGGAGCAGCAGCAGCAGCAGCTTGGTTGGAAAGTGGTCCAAGCTCCTCCGTGGTATCGGCCGGGATACGTACCTTACCTTATTGGCTTACATAAGGAAATAGGTAGAGCAGGAAAGAAGAGCCAATGAACAGCTCCTTCCGTGGCACCGTGTGGGTCTTGGTCCGAATGCTGCGGAGGCACGGAGAGGAAGGAAGGGGCTTACGGCATACCTGACGCAGAAATCCTCCTGTTGTCTCCGTGCCTCCCGCTGTCAAAGGAAAGCTCGGGGGACGGGGCAAGCTTTGGGAAGGCCAAGCTCAGCCGAAGGCAGACACGTCACAAACATGGCATTCCAGGAGCATCCTCCGAGGCATCCTTCTTATGTTTCCTTTCATTATTCCTGTCATCGTTTTAGTTGTTGCTGCTGATCCTGTTGTTGTCTCATCCCTCCATGTCTCCCACGCTTACGACACATTCCACGCATCCATCTATCCGCGCAAATCAACCAACCAAACACCCGAATCTCTTGTCTCTGCCAGACTGACACCTTTTCATCCGTTTGTCAGCTCCATTCTTCGCCTCCCCCCTCCACCTCTGCAGTCTTTCCAACCCATCACAAATCGAGATCTGAGATCCCAATTGCTGCCTGTCATCGTCCTGTTCCACCGTTTCCCACTTTTCGCCATCACGGCCGCAACCATCTCCCGCCGTGCCAAACTTCCAAGACATACCGACGCCGTTGATGTTCCAACTCCACACTTTTGCAGCTTCGCCCCCGGCCTCACTGCGGCTTTCGTCCCAAGCCCAGCTCTACATTGGAAAAGATGGGTACCTTTGGTCTGAAGGCAGAGCTATAGCCTTACAACCTACACATCTGTGCAGTCTTGAAAACTTATTTACAGCTACATGGACAGATGCAGCTACGCCAAATTCGACTGGTGCGAGTGCGTGTGGAAGTGGAAATGCAAGGGCAAGTCCCAACCCAGTCATCGCACCCCCTCCAGCTCTCAACTGTTGGTTGCAGTCTTCTTGCTGCTGCTCTAGCTGCCACCAAGTCTCAACCCCAGACCGAAAGTCCTGGATTGGCCATCTCCTCAGAGAGAATGCAAGGCGGACAGAGCAATAGAAACTGCTTCTATGCGTCGAAGCCAACAACCTACACCCCCAGGCCTCAAGGTGGCAGGCAAGAAGATGCATGGTTAGCCAATTGTATCGCCAGAAACATGACGAATCAAGGCCCAGACAAGCCACATTTCTTTGTTCTCCTCTGTATCCATCTGCAGACGTTCAACTTCAAGCCTGCCATGTTCCATGGGTTTGCATCCGACAACCCAACCCACACACCTGCTAGCTCATCTCCTTTGTTCTCATATGCAATGAGTGACATGGGCATGGCTGTTGGCCGCAACCGCTCATTGTCACTTCATGCTTGACGACCGCATTCCTCATTACACTCCCACCGGGGCTTGCAGGCCCAAAGCAAAGATTGTAGCCGCCTTCTTTGCACACCCTTTCTCTGTCAGTGACAGTCTGTCAGTCTCTGCTTCTTTGCACCTTGCCTGTCTTTCTTGTCTTCTTTGAGAGAGACAGAGACCTACCGTACCTACCGGTCCTTTATTTTCTGATCCCGGCAGTTGCTGCAAGTGCCCTTTCTCTCTTTTGGCTCCTAAAGAAACTGGTGGGCGAGAAGTCCAAGACTTGCAAGCTGAGGTGGCTCACAAGGTCTTCCGCAAAGACATTAATTAACCCCTCCATCCACCCCAGACATAAGAGAAGCTCTTCTCCCTTGATCAAATCCCTACAGGGCTGCATACTCTTAACTCTCATCATCGCCATCCCATCATCTCGGTTGCACATTCCGATCCTTGGGCCCGTTCATTGTTACTCAGAAAATCTGACTTGAACACTTCCCTCTTCAGTCACCACTTGATATATCTTACAAGCCATTCACCTCTATCACTATCACAGACCACTATGGCTACCCCAATCGAGAGCCACCCTCGGGCAAGCCTTCACCCGTTATGGGCACCTTCATATAACCAAGGCGGATTCCCTCGTTCCTCGACTTCAAGCAGACCTACCGCCCCTAGCTCGTATTACAGCCCATCCGATCGTTCACCCAAAAGTCTGCCTACTCCGGTATTTCCTTCCAACGATGGCTCAATGAGACAGCATGAGCGCGCCATGGTCGACCGCCTCGGCTCCAGACTCCGACAAGCTCCAGGTTCCGGCGACCTTAGCCCGCCCAAGTCAACAAACCGGCCGAGCCCGCTTTCTCCTCTCGCAAAGCACTCAGCAAGCGACGGTAGACGTTATTCGGCTGCGCCTATTAGCCCTCGCCGGCCGGGTCCGCCGCCATCAGCATCTCCGGTCTCACCACCTATGGCCAGCAGTGTACGGAGGCAGACTCTCGCAGCGGAAACTCGATCGATGCTTCTCGCCGGTTTGGGCGAAGAGGCACAACGACGACAGTCTGTGGCAGGGCCTGGATATGTCGCCAGATCCAGGGAGGCCGAGAAGCGCGTCCAACTCGAGCAGCTGCGCGCATGGGGTCATGTGTATCTTGGTGATGCCAAAACCTCCGACGTCTTTGTTCAAGCTGTTTCTCTTAATCGTCGAAGCTCTAATGCGAGCACCAACTCGGATCAATCTGCTGGAGGTTCTTCGTCCCCACGAATGCCGTCCACGCCGACTCTCCCACCCCACCAGCGTCAAATGAAGTTTGGAGTTCGTCCTCGGGCCCTCGAACGCAAACCAATGCTCATCACTCACACTTTCGATATTGAGCAGTTGCGCTCCACCATCGCGGACCCATTGCCAAGCCCTGTTCCCGCGGATCAAAGAAGGCGGCCATCTCTGCATACTCAGGCCACTTCACCGCTGCCAAAGGTCTCATCTCCTCGACCGAGCGCGGCACGAAGGCGGTCGAGCAGTGCAATTCACAGCACGCTCCCTTACAGCCGCGGGCTAAAATCTGGAGATCATCGCGCGGCTTCATCGCGTGGCGCCGACACTATACCAATCCGTAAGTAATGTCTTGCCTAAGTTTATCCCCTCTGACGTTTGCGGACTTGAACCTTTTGGGCCATAGCCTCCAAGGCCGGCTCACTCCTACCCGAATACAAGGCAGGAAACCAAGGCTAACACCCAACCCACCCACAGATCTCCAATACGCCCGGTCCTCACTCCCGGTGTTGGCCGCTATCATCGTCTCCGGTACTGTGCAGGCTGGCGACGTTGTCGAATTGCCACTACCGTATCCCGAAGTGTGGTCCCAAACAGTCACCTATGTCTACACGGGACAAGGGGACTTGACGGATGCAGTCAAAGAAAACATCCTCTACCTCGCAGGAAAGGTTTAACGCCCACGTCTTGGCCTCGTGCTTGATTAACGACTTATGACTCTTATTTCTTTCTTCTCTTCCACTTGGCCGCCTTTTCCCAACGAATGCAGCACTCTGTATACCTTGCTCATTCCATGATCATGCGCTTTATTGGGGGGGATAGCGATCGTTGTGGGCCGTTTGCCTTGTTGTTCTTCTGTTCTTCAACACTCCTTTGTCCTCTTCTCTTGAGGACACCCTGTTCACTATACAACTTTGGCATCTATGCCCACATCATGACTTTATGTAGTTTAATGAATTTCTTTTTACAACACAGAGAGAACAGATTTACTGTCCATGACTATCAAAGACATGTTACCATTGGGTGTTTTCCAACTGAGTGATATGTTCTGTCTGTGCTCATGGTACCTCAAGAGCCGCGCGCCTCAAAGGAGAGGGAGTGTTTGCATCCCGCCAAAAACTCAATCTCAGTCACACCAGGCCACGAGTGACAGAACAGCCACACTTTGTCAATGACCGCCCTATCCGCTCTTCATTCCGCGTCCCGCCGAGACGGAAAGGCAGAGAGATGGCTACAAGGGAAGACCGGGTCTACTTTGTTTAGTGCAAAGCATCGTTACGTCCGCAAACGTGGGGTTGGGGGTTGGCGTGGACACCCGCCTAAACATACGATGGAGAACGCCCACGAGGGGAGGGGCACAGGGGGGGGGGGGTTGAAATCTTCCCGCACATCCGTCTCTTTGATGGGCTGTACACATGACGCTCTTGGACATCGCTGCGCAAGGGAATTTCATGGTGGTGATCAACGCATGTCAGCTGGAGTCTGCTCCGTGAGGGTGAGTGTGGTGGAGTTGCTGAGACCGACGTTGACAACGAGTTTGGTACCGGCCGAGAAGACGACGTTTTCATGTCTTCGCCTCCCCGTCTCCTCCTCGTGTTCGTTAGCATCGCGGTGGCCCTGTCGATGTTCTTTTGTCTCTGTTTTTCTTTTTAATCACTCTGGAAATCTACTCAGTCTTTGCTATATCCTAGGGTTTCTGTGGTTTCTACACACACTCCCCTCCCTTCCATCTGCGGTTCCGCACATACCCAAAGCCAAGCACCGAGGCCGGCTACTCTTGTCAAAAATTTTCCCGGATCATGGTGTCGATCTTGGACCCAGATCGCGCGGCGTTATATTGTTCTCTTTTTTTTGGGGGGGGGGGGGGGGGACCTTGGGACATCTGGTTCATTGCATGTCCCGTTAGTTGATGTCTATCCGGTCCACTACTGGTACAAACAGCGCCTTTGACCGGGAAGGGACGGGAAAGGTGTCAGGTGGAGGATCCTCGGGGCTCAGTGATAGAGTGGCATCAGCATCGACTTTCTTGCCTTGCGGACTTAGGTCCGGGTGATGCCCGGCAGGCAAGCTTTGGGATAAAGGTAGATACCATGACCGCGAGAAGGGTGGCTACGGCAGTTGTCGGCTGTCGCTTGCGAAATCTCCCCCCAAGCCTTACGCCTCAAGCCTCAAGCCCTTTCCCGCGGGTCCCTCATCTCTTCTGCGTGCAGAGATACGTTCGGTAGGACAAAGGCGGCAAGGCGTTTTTCTTACTTCCCAAAAAGAATAAAACAGGGGGGGGGAAAGGATGTCTTTCCACCACACGGAGAAATACCGAAGTAGAAGGGTAACTGACAGCCACCACTTGTTTTTCCCCTTTTCATTCTTGGTCTTGAGCACTGCAATCTCATCACCCGAAGACTCTCTACTCGGGCCTTGTGTAACCGTCCGATCTCTCGGCAAGTGTGCTTGTGTGGGTGTGGGTATGTGTGCGTGGATGTGTGCGTATGTTGTTATTCGGGCCTTTCAATGACGTGGTGTGCTGAAGGCATCCTGTCTGTTTTCAGCATATCAGATAATGTTTTCGTTCTTCGTCCTCTTGTTTCTTTTCCCCCCATCCATTTCCTTTTGACCTAGATCCTTCTCGAACTGGATCCTTTAGCCTTTTTTTTTTTTTTTGTCTCTGGCTGTCTGGGTCACCTCGTGGTTGCAAAACTTTACCAGAGAGTGGCGAAGCAGTTTTGCTCACGTGTTCGATGAGCCACCACTGATGTATGTCCGGATATGGTAAGGTTTTTTTTTCTTTCGGAGGAACGACGGGGCAAGAGAGGCTTCGGAAGTTCCGCTGGTCGATTCCGGCCCGTGTATTCGGTTGCTCGGTACTAGGTCTCGGGTGCAGGGTTCGATGTGAACGGCGGAAAGGAATGCGGCGGACAACGGGTACGAACTGATGGGGACCGGTTCCGGTTACCCACCCCGCCCCCCATCTCCGTGCCCGAGACCGGCTCGGAGAACCTTTTCCGCCGACGGCCTCAATGGAAATGAAGGACTTTCAACTTGCTGCGTAATGAATACGCCTTTCAGCGCCAAGGTAACAAAACGAATACTAGAACGTCAACAGGAGTTCATGCTCATTGTAATATCGCGGTTTAGCCGTTCACTCCATGCCTGTTGCAACCGCGCATAGGTAAGGTACTTACCTACATTTGATGCCAGTATACAAAGTCTACAAGTGGCTCTCGTAGGACATCGGATCTTGTATTGATATAAAGTTGGCACAGCAGGGGCCCCTTTCTTCTCATTGTGCTCTGAACATCGCTCATGCATCGCTCAGCCTGGATGTAACTCCCCAAGGGCTTTTGTAGAGTATAATGCTTTCATCTACCATCGTTTTGAAGACGAGAAAGCTGGTGGTCGGAATGGTAGTAGATATACACCCAAAACTGACAAACTGTCCGATCGAGCAAGATCGATAGCCTGATTAATGTGTCGAATGACACTCTTTCAAAATTGCTTGCGGATTTGACTGTAAGATAGATGAGCTCTTGGCCTCAGACACATACAAAGGGCAACACCATTCAATCTTTTGTGTGTTGTTTGAGAAGCATTACGGGTTACACTACAACCACTTGAAAACTGGCGTCGCATAGTCAGTCGCATGATAGGGGACACAACCATTTCGCAGACGCAAGAGGAGGACCGAATTCGAGTTCCAAAAGTGGAAATCGGCGCCATAATTTTAAGACAGATCCGAGTTTGATATCGTCGCAAGAGAATGTTCCGCCCATTTGACTTGATTCGAACAAAAGGGCCGGACTATCTTGATAGATGGGACCACCGTTCTTAACTTGAGAATAAGAGGGATGAATAATCCTCTCAGATAGCCTTAGCAATTGCTACTACGGTATTCACCACCGACCTCCCCTTTCTCTCTAGCACCGAGGCAGATGATGCTTCATAGTGGACAACTACAAAACCCTACTTCAAAGACAGCCTCAGCAGGATTTCGCCTCATTGACATAACTCGCCTGTCTATTTCCGTAACTTCATCGGGTCTGAAATACCTCTTTCGTACCTTCTCATCTTATTCTTGGCACGTAAGGTTCTTCAGCCGATCTTGTGAGAGAGAAAGACCTCAAGTCGCCGACAAAATACCGGAGCCGGAAAACGGGAAACGATTCTGCAGACATGTCACGTACGGGATGAGTAAATGCGGCAAAACGTCCGCAGTGGAGGAGCGCAGCGATAATTACTAACTAACAACTAGCAGCAAACAATATTCAACCAACATTCAGACGCGACTCAACGTAAGAATCGTTGGTGGCAATGCCTTGGTACCTTGGGCGGCTAGATCTGTGTTGCCAATACAGTCAGAGGATTAAACCTAACATGTTCATAGATCATACAACTTATATAGCATAGAAAAAGAGCAGCATAGGCTAATGGAGGATCACATTGATACTCTCTCGAAATAGACGACTCGAGAGCCACATCTCTCACCACTCTGTGGCTTCGATCTCACTTCTCCGCGGACGGAAACTTTGGTTTTCCCGTGGGCAGTAAATCATACCGTCGCTTAGAAGCCAGGCACCCATGGGAGCTGATAGTCTGAACTGCCCTTTGTAGAAGGCGGCCAAATAACCAGCTAGGATGATAAGACACATATGCTATCTCGCCCCTGCCTCCTCATGCTCTCCACGATATACGCGCATATCCAATGTAGTGATTCCTCCACTTCCGAGCCGTAACGTTTACAGCATATATATAAACCTCACTTATCCCCTATTTCTTGTTTGCAAGGTTCTCTACTTACGCCCCCTTGATACATCCTACATCCCAGCAACCCCCTTCTTGAATCCCACTCAACCTTGCACATGGCCCGAATCAAACAAAACACAAGGACAACAGCGGTGTATTTCTAGTAAAGGTAGTATCAAAGGTGTCGACAAGATCCAGCGTCATACCGGCCATCTGCTGTGAGGCTCTGTCCGGGAGAGTAATTGGATGTGTGAAATCGATGCCCTGCGTGATCCCGAGATATCAACTACCATGCACGAACAACCAACCGCGTAAGAATACACTGAACCAACCGACTTACTCAATATCGAAGATACATTCAGTAAGGAGGGGACTCTTTACTTCAACCAGGATATATCCGAGATCAAGCTCTAATGCTGGCCTGCATCGACTGCTGGCATCGACGTACTCATCTACCCAGCCAACAGCATATACGCCGATAGAGGTACTGGCTTACATACAATCAGACCCAAATATGAATGTAGGAGAGAACTTCAGAACGCGGCGGCATCCCGTTCTCAACAAGCGTTGTCGGCAAAAGCTACGTGGAGGCAACTTGACTCGTATAAAGAGACGAAAAGGGCTTGCCGTGTCGTATCTCGGGAGTAATTACACAACGTATCTACCAACATGGATTCATCATCGTGGATCCTTTAATCATCGTGGATCCTTTGAACATTTTCGCTAGAAAACGGTTTACCTCCGACCTGCTGGAGAAGACGACATCTTCCGAGGTAGATGTACTGCTACAATCTACAGGTTGCATAGAATACCTCGAGAAACCGTGACGCCATGCCAAACACCACAATCACAAGACTCAAGTCCCCGTCAAAGTCTTGCGCCTACTCTAAAGACAAAATCCATACAAGGCGCTCACTCTACGATTCCAATGAAGATCAACATTATCAGTCACCTCATTACTACTCTCCCAACCAAGGAGAGCTCCGCCAATCTCAAGCACACCCATCCATTCATTCACCCACGCACACATACCATCAATTTACGTCTGCGCCTCCGCCCCTTTAAGTTAATGGGCAAAAAAAAAAAAAAGTCCACACAAGTACATATCGAATACATACCATCAATTTGCAGAAAAGGTGTCCCTGCATCTCGCCCATCCAAGAATATCAAACCTTTTGCTCCCGCATATCTCATAGTTCACCACCAAAATCCAAGCCCCCCGCGGCCCGTCGTCTCGGAAAGGGCACAGGCAAACACTAATCCGGACCGGTATTTCTCGATCTCTTTCCACCGCTTAGATCTGCCGACTCTCTCTTGCATTTGCCCTCTAAAACCTTACGCATCTGATCTCCATCTCCACGTATATCCCATCCCCTCGGTAAAAACAAGCAAAGCATCGGGTGTTAGGCGTCAAAGCATCCAATGACGCGGGTCCTTGTGTGCAGCAGGCAGGGCGCAGGGTCCCTTGGTTCATCCCCTCAGACCGCACCTTACCACATCCCAATATCGCCGTCCACCAGTGCGTTTGTGTGTGGCTGCGTCGAGGCATGTGGTGATGCTGATATTCTGCATGGCCCGCGCATACCGGCCTGCCAGATACCAGGTCAAAACAGCGGCAACGACGCCAAAAGAACCCAAAAGGAAAAGAAAAGTCCTCCCAAAGTGAATGTGCGAGAAGGTGTGAGAGGGAAAGCTGAAAAGACCAAAAAGCCACCGAAACCTGCACCCGCAGAGCAACGACGACGCTAATGCCGAACTCAGATAAGCCAACAGGAGTGGCGGCCCGTTGAATTACCTTGACCTTGACCTTGGTCTGACTTGTCTGTTGAATGGGAATGAGGCCCTCGCTATAGCGTTCCTCCGAAAGCTTCACATGCTTGAAACCTCTTAGTATCCTCGCGCCGCATGTCTAGTCTCCTTGAGACATTTTCTTCCTTCCTCTCCCGACTTTCTCAACCGCAGCCATGCAACCATCATTTCCGATCCGGTCCCAGCTTTTCGCACCCAAGGACGGGAGCAGTGGCCGAGCGATTGATCCATAATCTCGGGCCTTCTGCAGCCCGAAGGCAGCCACGAAGCCAAACAATTGAAGAAGAACAACGCTTCAAAACCATTGATTGGCGCGCTATACGCCTGAACTCACTCGAGCTCGCGTGGTCCCCGACTTGGAAATCTCCACTTGGCCGCCTTGGTCTGGTTCTTCAAAAGTCACTCGGTTGGGCTTTGGGAAGGAGATTCGGCGGGAAGGGAAAATGTCAATTCATGCGAGAACGCCTCCCGGAGGCTGGTTTCCACGGGATGGCGAAGAAGCACAAGAGAAGGACAAAAAAGACAAAAGAAAGCATGTGAGAGATCGACAGCGGCTCAAATCCCACAGACACTCACCAGAAGACGATCGTTCCCCACGTTCCAGCCCCATCACCACCAGCCAGATCGCTTCCCCGCGGGGGATGAGGACCCCCCGTTGTAACTGCCATCCAACTTCCCAATCGCACTCGGCCTCGATTCCCAATTCGTCCATCGCGAAAACTCTATCTCTCTCCCTCTCAGTCCCATGCAACCAACGCACATGTTAAAATGCTCTTGATGCTGGACAAATCTGGCCAAATGCCTGTGTGTCTTCCTTCAGTCGCGTTGGTTGCATTGCCTACACAAGCGCGGCCGTCTCATCGAAGACATGCATATGCCACATCGCCTTAGCCCCAATGGCACCACTGGAGAATGAAGGTGTCCCATTTTACCACATTTGTATGCCTCTTCGACCAAGGTACTGAATAGGCAAGACCGCGGCCAGTGATTGTCCATAGAAGGACAGGCTTCCTTTCCCATCAACGGCGCTTCGTCATGTAGCAGCACCTATTGAATGCGGCTTCCAGATCGTGGGTCCAATTGTTGCATCGCGTATCTACCGGCATTCCAGTCTCTGCGCCGTACACTGCTCCATGTTGACCAATGGTTCTAAGTAGATGGTGTTGAGCCTGTCTGTTGTGCCGTCCACGATGGTCATATCAGGTCGTGAGACCGTCAGCATGTGACTCCAAATACGAGCCACGAGACACAGTCTGTTGTCGCCTTATCTCGGTTCTTGTTTGAGATGATCGCCAAGAACTGTATCGAGCTCACGATATCCAACGAAACTTCGCTCCTTGACTTAACTTGCGTGCCAACGGGTACGAGAGCAGAGGCACATGCGCCTTCGTTATTGCTCTCTACACTGTCAGGCCATCCATCTCACCAAGTTTGGCTATTGTCCCTTGTCACCTCCGCTAATGGGCCGCAGCAAGTGGACACTCGGAGGTCCCTAGAGCCTTTGATGCAAGAAATCCTGCATCATGTACGCCCAGGCCTTGCTTGACAATCTGGCTTCTGTTTGCAAGCTCCCAACGTACAGCCATGCACCCTCTTCTTCGTCTGGAGACAGTAGCGAAGCAAAACGAGACCCCATCATTCGAGGCTCGACAACCACCAATCTCACCACTCCACTTCCTCGGAGGTGGTGGGGGAGGGGTTGTGTGTGTCTGTGTGATACGCGCGCGTTCTCATCGGATGATAGGTTCACGCCGAGAGCTTCGGGGCTGGTTGAGACGCTGGGGCGTGGTTCCATCCACTCGGACGCACTGGCAGGGTCCTGTCAGTCGGGCAGCCTGTTCCTCGTTTCGGTCGATTCTTCAGCACAACGACGACGATTCCGCCCAGCTCGGCCAGGCCTCGGCCGGTCCTTAACGCCAGTTGTGTGGTCCCTCCAGGGTGTGTTTGTTTCGATAATCCCCATCCCCGTTCCCTGGCGGTGCAAAATTGACAGAGTTCCTGTTTATGACCCATTTGTTTGGCTTCAGTTAACCCCTCATGGTAAAAAATAAAATAAAAATAAGCGGCGGACGCCGCAGCCGCGATGGAAAACCTGCACCGGTCGGGATCATGGCTCGCTCGGACCGCGCTGAGAACATGGCGATAGTGGCTACAATTCTGGCAATCATTGTAGTTATTGCGATAACACGACCCGTTATGCTCAGGTACTACCTGGTGTTGTAGGTTAAGCCGCGGGCGAAACGGGCTCAAAACCCTTCGGCCCCCATTTGCCAGCAGATGTTACAATGGAATATCAATTGTGGATATGGTTATTGAATGGGTGTGAGGGTTCGGCATGGGTCTCCGATTCACGGCCATTCTTCTGTGATGAGGCTCCCGTCGAGAGAAGATTAACTGAATGTCAACTCAATTGGCGTGTTTTTGCGTGGGGGCCGGAAAGCAAAGGTGACGGCATGCTTCTCGCAGTGGAATGAAAGGCAACATTGAGCTTCCAGAACCGGACTTGGTCGTTTGCTGTAAGCCAATGTTCTCGGATTTCTGGCCATTTGCTGATTTTGGTAAGGTTAGTAAATTGATGACCAACTCAACAATTTCTGCACCGAAGCAGCAGTAGCTCGTAGCCGATTGACTGGTGACGCATCGGCTCCAAGTTGTCGCACGCTCGAGGTATGCAGGAACCTTGGTGTCGAACCTATCGACACTGCCTGCTGATGCCCGGGGCATTCCCTGAAATAGACCAAAAAGGGTACATGTCCAGTACCGCGCTTGTACCTCGAAGGGGCTGGTCTCGTAGCCCTGTTCATTGGTGGCATCGGTCCTGGGCATACCCTCCGTCAACGGATCCTCCTCTTCTTCATGGTGAGTGTATGAATGGCGTGTGGATTTCGTGGCGCCTTTTCTGCAGCTAGTGGCCAAGATGTTCGAATAGGCTGAACCAACGGGCCAAGACGTCCACCAGCAGCGCCGCTTGCACCACTTGGCGCACTTCTTTCGGCTTTTGACTTCTTTTGTACGTGATATCGCGTTTCCCAATGAGGAGGTTTGTCACCTTTGCGTTTTGTGTGAAGACTCGTTGTTGCATTGTGCTCTCTGTTGCCCGGACAGACCTTGCAGCAATAGTAAAGCTCATTGGACAACATCAGATGATCTCGCCATTGTACTTTGACATGGCATCGTGCAATTAGCAAAGCACCCTTGCGGCGACATGAAATTCTTCAACGGCTCGCAAAGACCGAAGATCGCTTGTGTGGATCGAGGGATTGCTGATGACCTCTTGAGGGTCGGATTGCCTATGCCATTGTTGGTTCCGAGCCTCTTGAACCTGCATAATAGTGCGCGCTGAGGTTACAGCGAGCCAAGAAGCGCGAGTGGGCTCGCTCCCCTCTTGGGCCGGGATGTTTTCGAGACGGAGCTCTACCAATTCTCTATTTTTCTTGGTTGACGTGGCTCTTGTTCTCCATAAGTCCGTGGTGGATACTGGACGATTACATGGGTTCTGTCCTAGTGTAGGAACCCCCCTGGTCGCTGAAGAAGAGCTGGCCCGGTCGATGTCGTGATGGAATGATGCTATCTTGCGGGGTTGACTAGGCACGGAGGAGAAAGTCGAGGAAACCCACCAGCAAGTCTCCATCCACCCCCTCCTTCGAACCAGGCCTCTCGAATCGACGCGAGGGCGGGAAGATCGTGAGCCTGTCCATCCGGGCTTGCGACGGACAAAGTTTGCGGAGAGCAGATTGCTGACAGGCAGGTGTGGCATAGTGCTGTGCACTACAGGCGCGAGACGCGGCCTGGATCGCACGAGGTGCTTCCCCGGCGGATCTCGGGCTGCGAGCATGAACGATTGCGATGCATGTTGATGTCAACCATGGTTGCGCAGCCGCAGATCCAGTGTCACAGGACGGGGCCTAGCAACGAAGACGGGGCACAAGTCCCTCTTTAACGATGCCGTTCTTTTTCCCGTATCATTCGATGTCCTGGCCGCATGGAGTGTATCTGTAGCAAGAGAGCCTATAGCATCTCAGAAATGATGATTTGTTGGGCACCTATAAGCACGCCCGTACTTTGTTATAGTATCCGAAAGTCTCCGTCTACGTGTCGGCAAGACGGGATAGACGGGCGGCGCGAAGACGACGCTGGCCCACTTGGCTAGATCGACTCCGCCGAGCTTCGGCCATGATCAGCCTCTATACTCTGGGCGTGCGGAGGATCGTGACGAGGGTCAGGGCTAGGGTTTCTTTTTCGTTCGCAAGATGCCCGTACGGATCCGTACCCCGTACGCATAATCCGTATCCGCGCTGACTGCGGCGCTGCGTTGAACTTGAAGTTGATGATCCGTACGACAATAGCGATTCGTGTTCAGGTAATAGTGGCGCCCCTGGAGAGGTGACTTCCATATCGGAATGTGGCTTCCTCATGCGGAACAGCTTCGAGTGGTATTGAGGCACAGATGTCAAGGTGAGATGAGGTGAGGCAAGGTGTGCTCAGTCGGGACCGTTGATTGAGTGGGCGACATTTCTGGTTTAGGAACTGACGACCGGCCAGCCGGGGCCAGTAACATGGTAACGTCGTAAATGCAGAGCTTTGCTGTTCATCCATACTCAAGACTGCCGCAGCTCAATTGTGTAGTACTGTGTACTTTTCGAGTCGGCCATATCGTAAGGTATATTGCGACGGAGGGCCCAAATCCCGTGGGCTCGAACGGAGCAGAGCCTCCCTCCTGCTAAGAGGATCTGAGCGTGGCGGCGGCGAGAGTGATGGTTCCTTTGGATGCTTGAAGGGTTCAAAGACCGAGTTAGCGGCGGCGGAGGATGGCCGTGATGTGCACTGATGCGTGGTCCTAGTTGCGGAAACCGACGTGTCTATCCGTAGCCTTGTGGTATATCGTAGTCCCCGGCAAGGATAAGTGGTGTATTCGTACAATACAGTAGGGGCGGAACACGGTGCAGGCATATTGATGTGGAATTGAGAGCGCGGGAGAGAAAGAGATTGACGATGAGGGTTGGAAAGGCCATGGCTTCGCTGATTGGCCACGTAGTCCACCCCCCTCTGTTCTTTGGCAAAGAAAAGAAGTGATGACCCTGGCAATCTGGCTCGCATGGGTGGTGGTGCAGACGCAGGTCCGACGAGAAGCGGATAAGCGCACTGGCTCGCAGGGGAGGGTTACATTAAGGAAAGCCCATGTCGTCTTGGCTTCAGTCCTGGTCCGAGTCGCTGACCCAAACGGGGATATGCACAATGGAAGTGGAGAGGGGGAGGAGGAGGAAAGGAGGGGAAGAGAGAAAGGGACTGGTTTTGCAGTTGCAGCGCCGCAGCGGACAAGTAGCTACAAAGAGGATAAGGTAGGTAGGCACGCCGCACATGATGATATGATGTGATGGTGCGAGGTCCAAGTTGTGTCGGCGAGAACGAGGAGAAGGAAAAGTTGAGATGTGATTGCCGGTGGAGAGGGGATTGCGCGTTTCGACTTGGCCGAAGGTCTGACGATTTGCATATTTGCAGATTTTGCCATCTTGGAACTGCAACTGCAACTCGCATCCGGCAACTTGCGACTGCACCACCAACAGCGGCTGCGGCTGCGGCTGCAGTTGTGGTTGCGGTTGCGTGTCCTGCTCCGCACCGGGGCTCTCTTTCCCTCTCTCTCTCTGTCTCTCTGTTTCTGTCTGTGCGAGACAACCGGGACGGGAGGCCAAAATGCAAAATGTCTGTGGTTATTTTGTCTTTGAGATGAAATCTATCCGTAGATACATTGTGGCCCTGCCTTGCCTTAGCCGCTGGGGTCCGTTGGCGTTCGTTGGCTGAGGGTCAGAACAGACGAGCGCCAAGACTGGGACAAGAAAGATACTTGCCCGATCTGTCGAGGTACCGCGGCCGCCTGTGCGTCGAGGAACCCGCAAGTATCTTTTTTGTGTCTCTGGTTCCCTGCTCCTGGCTTGCTTGACTAAGCCATTCTATGGAGTACCTAGTTGTCCTTCTCCATAGTCAATGCTAGGCTGCCCCTCTCATCAGAGTCGTCTTCGCCTTTTCCTGCCTTGCCTTCCTTATTTTCTGAATGGGAGTACAAGGTCGTCATCACCCACACAGGGAGTCATGAATTGATGTTGAAATCCTTGGTCTCTTGACTGCTGGTTTTTGCGGCTGCTTCTTGTCTTCTTCCTTGGCCTGAGGCACAGAAATATCAATTCGCTTACCGAAGCTTGGCGGCTGTTCTTCATCGGGAACCAGATTCAGCAAGTCCCGTCCAGTGCCCGTTCACTCGGAGGACGGGAGGCCCGTAGCTCTTGTGTACAGATACGTACCTATCCATACTCCTCTAGAGGACCTGGGCTTTACGGACAAGGCAGGGACGATGGGAGAGACTTGGAAGGTACGGAGTACCTCAACGCCCGTACCGTTCGCCGGTTGTCTTTTTGGCAGGAGCCACCCGTCAGCTTGTTGCTGCTATGGCCAGACTACAGTCCGAGGGTCTCGATCGTCTCGGGCATCTTGGATTCTCCCATGTTAAGGTAAAATCCACTCAGAACCATCCACCCACTTTGCCATTTCACAATCCCCAGCCAGCACTTACGTCCAGCCGTGACAAGCCGATAAGCGTCCTTCGCAACCACATTATCATCATCATCGACGACGACAAAACCGACGACAAATGGCAATCATAACACAACGCCAGTGCAGACCATGACAGGTTGACGGCCGTGCGCACTTGAGGTGTGGTTCCATCCAAGCTCGACTCTCGAATGCCGTCGCCCTCAACGGAATAGTGTACGCAGTACGGAGGACGGAGGACTCGCCCTTCCATACCTTGGCATGCCATGCCATGCATGCTTGCTACAGTACTACAGTAAGTGCCTACTAAGTGAGCAAGCATACCTACTCCGCCAGCTTATCACCGCACCTCTATTTCCTCTTTCTGCCGCTGCACCGTGAAAAGACCTGTACTAATCAAGTAGAGCCACCAAGCTAGCAAGGTCGTCTTATCATCATTGTCCTCGTCCTCGTCCTCGGTCTCAGCTCCTAGAACCACAACCCGTCTCCATCAAATCTAGGCCTTTGTTTTTCGCCCGCGCTGTCGGCGCTTGTCAGTGGCCAACCCAAGCTCGTTCGCCTGGTCTTGCTCCGTCGTCAATTGGCAACCCACGGCCGCCACTTTTGACACATTTGACAGATCAAACCAAAATCGCCTTCTCCTAACTGTCCGATTTTGCGTACCTATTCGTGCACAACTTCGTGCCTTACTTGCCGTATTCCCGGTGATTTTCCTACGGATTCTTGGTCGCCGTCATCCCTATTGCGTCTTGACTCATGCCGTCGCATTGGCTCGCTCCCCAACACCTCACGCTGGAGAGTGTGGCACCATGAATTGGAGAAGAATCCTCGATGGACCAACAAGAGTCGCCAGTGTTGAAATATTTTTCAAGAGTTTTTCTTCCTCTGGAGCACAAGTCATTCAGCAGACCCAATTCTGAGCTACCATTGGTTCTATGTTGCATGTTGTCACAACTCACTCTGGATGACGGATTTACTGCTGACGAATTTCGGCTTGAATCAAGGCGTTGCAGATGTTGCATACAATCGTAACCCCCTCTCCAAATGCATGCGAGGCCTAGAACCAATTCATCGTCAGGAATCATGCATGTCTCTCAACGCAACTCTTGCAAGCCGGCTCTCACTGCTACTCGCACGATTAACAAAGCCACAACAGCGATGCATTGATAGAGACTGTCCAAGTCCAGGGTACCTCTCGCCCTCATCTCCAGCCCACTTACCCGACCCACAAGATTTTGGACATCTGTAACAAGTTGACCTTGTGTGGTAACTCTGAGTATTGAACACAGCCAAATTTGAAATTGAATTTGGTGAGTGCTTTCCCTGCCTATTCTCCCCACAGCATCCCTCTAGTCTCCCTCTTCCGACCTGATGTAGGTTCAAAAGCCTCAAAACACGCGTATCATGTCATGCATCTCTGCGTCTGCGTCTGCGTCTCCTCGTCCCCGTCCCGGTCCTGGCGTACGGATGTCTAGCATATACTACTTCGCGACCCGTAGAAGAGGAGTCGAGAATAACGTTCCCCATTAATCCCATCCACTACGAAACACTTTGAGATTTGGACAATGTCTTACCTATGTCATCAGCAAGCCTCTTTTCGTCCACCTGCAGCAAAGACAAGGCCAGGGGTCCGAGAGTAAGGAGGGGGAGGGGCAGCCTGGCAGGCCTCGTGTCAAGCATCGGAACACAAGGTGGGCTGTTTGATAACGTAAACAAGGACGCAGACGAAGACCCCCAACCCATCGAAAAGGCTGTCAACTTGCACCTCTTGACCTCACAGTTCGAGCTTGGGCTCTCTGATTGGGTGGCATCGCGTTCGATCTCACCCATCTATCCATCCACCCATCTGCCACAACTTGAAGCTCGAAGCTCTGCTTGAAGTAGTGGCTGGCAGCAGTCAGTTCTTGGTTTCTCTCGGTAACCAGTGACCGATAGATGGGCAGTCCGACCTCTTGCCTCCGAGTGTCCGGACATCTTCGATCCGGAAACTTTGGCCCTGCGGGGTTTTACGTGCCCTCAGAACATCACCTGCCTCATTGCCCCCGTTGAGTGTGGGGTGCTCGATTATCTTAGCTTGGCCTACTAAGCATCCTAATCTAGCCAAGTCTCGAACCATTCAGTGAACTAGTAGGGATGGAGGGGTGTAGGGTTCGACCGATGATGGTGGGTGTGAGATCTCATTCTTCAAGGCAACCACCACGACAACCACCGAAAACTAGTCGCACGTACTCCGTCTCGCGAGGCTAGTCGTCCAAGCCAGCCCGATGTGAGTCAAGAGAGGCGCATCTGACGAAGCAGCCAAATGCCACTAGAGAGCACATGGACGATGTTCAAGACTTGAGATGAGCAGGAGAACACCACCACTACCACAAAGGGTCACAACAATCAACCCGGAACCGTATTCATTCCTCAGCTCATCGTCTTCGGGCGAGCATCGCGGCAAACGACGGCCAAACCAGAGCCGCGTGCTCGTATGGGCTTTCAACCCCCCTTCCAAATTCTCCACACCCACCAGCCTCACCAAGGACGTCATGTAAGACGATATCACACACCACTCTACCGTGGTAACGAGGCGCATGAACATGGCACAGCCTCTCACCAACATTGAATTTCGATTTCCGGATGGGACTGAATAGTTCCTTGAGGCCAGGCCAGACCTTTCCGGCCGGAGAATTAGTGAGCAAGGTAGGTATTCGCAGACCTTGGCCCTGCCGTGTAACCGGGGGTCATATCGTGGGGTCCGACTTGAAGAGAAGCCACACACACACATACAGTATCGCATGTCAGATATCGCGGGTTTCCCGGAAACCGTTTATTGGGGGCCAACACCATGGCGGGATACGAGACTACGCGTCAAATCACCCTGCCGTGTAACGAATGCCACCAACCTTCCCTCCCCTCTCCCCCCCCCCCTGGCACACATGCCGTGCTTGCTGCTCGTTTCTTCTTCCTGGGGACCCCCCCCCCCCGATCCAAGTAGTCGATCCCCCAGTTCGTCGGGATGCAGGGACATTGTATTCCCATTGGCTCGGTAGCCCTTTCTTTTTCCAGCTTGTGTTGAAGAACGATATGCAGCTGCCCTACATCACGCATCGCATCACGAACTACTGATAGATAGTGGAGGGGAAACTCATGAGCCTCATTTTTTTTTGGGGGGTTTGCTGTGGAATTTTGCTTTCTTTTCTTCAGTCTATGGAAAGCTGTCTCTTGGTCTGAGTGGAAAGAAGATGGAATAATGGTAGAGACCAACTGTCTAATGCCTTGCCTGCCGCCTTCTCTCTGTGTGTGTCTTCCTGATTTCCCATGTCTCGCAATGCATCGAATAAAATGCCTCCGACGAAGATCAAAGCTGCCTGCCCTGTTGCCCGCCGCGCGATGTACCTTTTCCGACTGCCTCTCTTTCGTTTCTGAAATTGAGAAGAAGGAAAGAAAGAAATCACAAAGACCTATCCTTCGCCCTCGCCATTTTTGGGGTGTTTTTGATAAAGTGAAAGAAAAAGAGACCAAGAGTCGAGAAAATCCAGGGAGGAAAACCTGTATCCCTGAAGCAGATGACCAAACCACCTATTCCTGCTCTCCATGCTGAATGGTTTCCATGCCGTTGATGATTATACTCTTGACACGCACTTCTGTGCTGTGGTTCCATTTCCCGTATGCGATCGTTCGTGTATTCATCGTAAAGAGGAAAGAACAACAAAACTTTTCCCGTTCCAAAGTCCTTTTGGGTCGGTGATTTTTGTTTTCCGGAAAAGAGGCGCAAAGAAAAATGAAGAAAGGGTGGATGATTAACCCTCTTCGTTTCCGCCTTCCAGGAAAGAAGACATAAGAAAGCCACCCAAGCCAGAGTCCCGTTTCTCCTCTGGCAAACCAATGTGTTGCAAATTCATAATTCGTGATATTCGTGGCTGCCTTGGACCTAGTCCGTGGGGTGCTCCAGGAGGGAGAAGGTGACGTGAGGCGCCTTGATATCCTTCGCGGGGAAGGTGTTCATGCGCACAGTCTGGGGTCGGCGCGCCTCGTTAGCCGGGCGGTGCCAGTCGGAGACCTTCTCGGTCATCTGACGCTCGAAGCGGTAGCGGACGAGGTCCTGGCCACCGGGAGGCGTAGTAAGACTCATGGCTCGCTTGGGACGAGGAGTCAGACGGATGTCGTCGTTGGTATCACCATCGGCTCTGCTGCCCCAGGAGGTCTGTTGTCAAAGTGTTAGCAAAGTTGATATCATCATAATTTGCTATGAGTTGCCACCTACCATCTTGAGGGTAGACAAGGCGTAGAGCTTGATGATTCCGTGGGCCCATCCAAAGAGGATGGAGACGGGCAGGAAGAGAATGTCGCTAGGGTTGCGACGGAAGAGGTTCACGAGCTTGACGACCTTGGTGAAGCCGAACACGAAGATGATCTGGGCCCAGAGGGCCTGGCGGCGGCTCTCAACGTCCCAGTCGGCAGTACCCTTCCACAAAGCGAAGATGATGAGGGGGTCGAAGAGGAATGCCAAGGATGTGAAGGTCGCTATGTGGAGAGCATAAGTGCACCAGGGCTGCTGACTGTAGTCGCCATGGATTAGCATACCATGCCAGAAAAAGGAAGGAATCCCAGATGGGTGGGTTTCAACTTACGTGAGAACGTATCTCTCCCGGACAAGACTGGTCCAGTTGCTACGCCAGTTGCTGCGAGCCCAGCGGGAGCACTGGTAAAGGAACTTGGTGCTATTCTCCAGAGTGGTCTCGAGCTCGCACTCCTTCTCGTACTGGATCCAAGTCTTCCACTGGTGGCTGACGAGCCAGCGAGTGACAAAGTTGTCGTCGTCGGCGTTGAGGATGTACTTGCCCCACTTCTCAGTCTTGAAGCCCTCAAGGAAGTCGTGGCTGGACAGAATCTCAGATCGGTAGGCACCAGTTCGGCCAGACATGCAGGATGTACCGCCATCGAGGTTGTGGGTGGCCGAGATCTCGAAGTTGCGTCTCTCAATGTAGGCAGCCCCGAGCCAGTTGAAGATGCGAGTGGACAGCGGGCCATCCCAGACGCGCTTAACTCTCTGGCAAGTGCCAACACCGCCAATCTTGGGATCCTCAAAGGGAGCGAGGATCCAGGGCATCATGGTAGAAGGCCAGGTGACATCATCGTCGGCCATGATGGTGAGCTTGGTCGTAACCTTGGGCAGAGCTTCGCAGACCTGAAGACGCTTGTTGGCAATGGGGGTAGAGTAGACCTGAACGTTAGGGTGAGGAAGGCTGCGAGCAAGCTTCTCAAGAGAGGCATGCTTCTCGCTGGTGGTAACGAGCATCAGAACGCGAGGGTTGCAGGCGATAATGCTGAGCAGAGAAGGACGAAGCTCCTCAAAGACATTGTGAATGGTGGGGATGATGACGGTAACATCGTCAGCTGTGAAAGTAGGGTTGGCGGGAATCGGCTTGGACTTGTAGACCCAGTGGCTGACGCAGTTGACGAGGAGGCGGGTGTAACGATGAAGCCTGCCAAGGAAGATTAGACACACAAGATGGCGAAAATCGAAAGGGGCAAGGCAGATATTTGCTACGATAGCAGTAGCAGTGGGGTGTGATTTTTTTTTTTTTGCAGGAAGTAGTGACTTACCAGAGGGCGATGAACAGGTACATCCAGGCAGTAGGGGACCAGCCAAAGCCAAGGTTGGGCAAGAAGAGATTCATGATGTCTGCCATCGTGAATTGCTTCCTGCGGTTGGAGAGTGCGCGTGCGTGATTCTGAGGTGATTCGGAGAGGGCCGTGAAGGAATTTTTGATGGAGATGGGAAGGGGAGCCCAACAAAGCCGCAATGAGAGGGATTGCGCGCGTGGTTGCTGGGTGTTGTGGAGGGCGAGGAGGATGAGAAGAAGGGAGTGGGAGAAGGAGTTGGGTTTTGTGCCTTCTGGTGCAGAGAAATTCTCAAAGAGTTAGAAGGTGGCAGGAGGTCCAGGCCTTGAGTGTGCCTTCCTTCCCAGAATATCGTCTTGGTGAATTTGAACAAGTCCCGTGATTTCTTCTTTGATTTGCCCTTTGATGAATATGTTTGTTGCGTATTCAGATGAGATGGTCCACTTCTTGTTTTCTGACCGAGATGTGATGTGTGTGTGAGAGATGTTTTGCTGAGGTGAGGCAACCTTAGAACTTTCAACAGTTTCGAACTGGTACCCAATGTGATGTGAATGCGAGAAATCTAGATGGTATCTCCAATCTGCTCTGCTTCCTACGAGGTATCACGCTCGCGGTTCTAGAGTAGCGTGTGGTGGATGACTGTCGAGAGAGTTCCGGATGATGAGTTTTTGCTCGATCTATGTGTCGTCGTGCAGCTTCCAAAGCCAAGTCCTGCTCTCGCTCTATCTTCAAGTCTCTTCTTCCTTTCTGTCTAGAAGGACCCTAACGATCGAGGTAGTAGATCGGACTAGCAGAGCGCTTTGTCTGTGTCCGTCGTCGGAGGTGGTATCAAAGAATGACACGGGCAAGACGGAAGGACCAACACCCAAGCCACGTGTATGGGATGCTGGAGGCGGGGGGAGGGGGATTTCGAGAAGGGTTCAAACAAAGTATTATACAGAGATGAAAGATGGCAATGGGAACTCAAACCATTGCGCGGACCAATTGGTCTTTTAAAAAACAACAATGACCCGGGGGAGAGGAAGTGGTGATGAGGTCGTCCGAGGAGAGTAGGTCGTCCTGGGGCGAGGGACAAGGATATATACGTAGCCAGATGTGGTGGAGGGTTGGCAGGCATGCATGGGTTGTTTAGTTTAGAGATGCGCCCATGCATGGGGACGGTAATGGTGGCTCCATCCAAACAAGGCAAAAAAAGTACTGGATATGTACGGAGTATGGATGGATGTGTCTAATGTGTGGTAATGGATTATGGATGTACGGACTTGTCGACTGGACTTGTCTAAGATTGTGGTGCAAGAAGGCAAGACGATGGGTCTTGAAGGTACTTCGTCTAGACTGGCACCTACTCGCGGCCTGTTTTCTTAGCTACACCACACTCACCACTGGCTCTCTCTCGCTCACACAGATAGACATGCATCACGTTCGTCTGTAAGGGTATTGGGGCAGAGACGAGGGGCAGACGAGGGGAGGGGTGCGCGGCGGTTGTATCGGGGTTGGGGAGCAGAAGAAGAAGGGGAGGGGTGAGCATGTTGGTGGATGGGGGTGCAGAAGGGCGTGTGCAGATGTGCCAGTTGCAGAAAAAAAAAACAGAGAGAGAGAGTGTGTGTGAGAGAGAGAAAGGCAGAGGAGGCGTTCAAATCGTCCATCTCTTCTCCCACCCAGTCCATCCATGGGCCCCCAGCCAGGGTTCCCAGAGTACGAAGCAGGTACTTGCGCGTACTTGGAGCGGAAGAGCCCACAACCGCACTCCAAGTATCTTTTTCTTCCCCTCCTCTCTCACTCATTCGCTCACTCCAGTCTTTCACTCTCACTGAGTGAGTGCGTATCTGTGTGTATGTCTCTCTGTCTCTGGTGCTACCACCACCCTGCCTGCCTCCCAGCTGCGTCTGCCGCCGCCGCTACTGCTGCAACTACGTCTTCGCCTGCTGCTGCTGCTGCTGCCGCTGCTACTATTGCTGCTGCCTCTTGTCTCCAACACTGGCTGGATTGACGACCGGCTACGCATGGGCTGCGGCCCTTGTGGGTGCAGGTCCAAAATGGGGCCCAGAGGCTGGCTTTTGTGGCACCGTGTTGGGACGACGCTTCTTTAGCAAGCATCCAGATAGCCTGCAGTGGGCAGGCAATCGTCTCGCCATGGACGCATCGCACCGATGGGCATCAGCACTTGCGAAGAGTAGTGCTGCGATATGTCCTCGCACTGCATCGTTTGCCATCGCACCTCGACGGCCGTCCTTCGGCGCGCATGCGACGGAGATGTGTCAAGAAACGGGAAACGTGAATTGGAGCCATCCGGTATGATGTCCCGCCTGCCTGCCTACCCTGCCCTGCTTGCTCTCCTCGTCTTACTTCCTTGTTGACGTCTGTCTGACCTGCAACCGCAGTCAGGTAGTTTCAAGAATGGAGGCGACTGCTGGAGTCAACCAAGGAACACGAGCCATCATAACCCTCTAGGACCCTCGAACCTCGACCCTGGAAGCGAAACAACACGACAGGCATGGTAATAGTAAAAGGCGGCTGGAGTTGAGGGTACTGAGCCACTGGCTGGTCCCTGCCCTCTCCTCTTCCCCTCCCCTCCTCCTCTTGGCCCCATCACGCTATGAATGGCGACTGGGGAAACGCGAATCACAGGGCGGAGGCGATTTGGTGGGGAGGGGAGCGAAACGACGGCAGCCTGTGGAGGCTGTATGAGGGCATGGCTTGAAGAAACAGAGAGGGGGACGAGGAATGTGAGAGGCGACGAGAAGCGACGAGACTCACAAGAAAGGTTAGCATATATTTTTATTTTATTCTTTTATCTTTTCAGAATGGGTACTCTATAGTACTGCTACTGTATAGTAAGACTGGCAAGCCGCAAGAGCCTAGTGTAGCGCGCGAATAACGCCATACCCTGTGCACTAGGGAGGGTCTGCTTGCCTTGGTTGGCTGCCGTACTCCATTCTCCATGGTTGAGCGGCTAGTTGATGTGGAAAATGGCAGCACGGCGAGATTTGGAGATCCACTGTTTTGGTGGACAGATTCCATCATTCGTTTGAGTACGACCGGGCATCTGCACATACAGAGACAAAAGGTGGAGAGCTTCTGGAGGAGCGGCTGGCGACAAGGACCAGGAACAGAGCCTTTCCGTCAATGGCCTCGATTCTTGACCTGAAAAGTTGCAACAGACCGAGGGTAATGACCAGGGCCTGGCGGAACAACTTTAGGCGAGGTCGAATCAACGGCCCGGTAATGAGATGGCTCGACGCCTGAGAAAGCTGGGGGAATATTACGGCAAGAGATAGGTAGGTACCTTGAAGACAAGAGGGTGGAATTCGAAATAACCGACCCGGTCTGCTCATCAGCAGCAACCTGGCGTCTGAAGACAGTATTAGCAATATCCGTAGGCCGTAGGAAACAGTAACCTCATGGGCAGGGCAACTTAGCCGCAGACAGACTCTTGCAATGCCTGGGAGGGGTAAAATCCTGGAAAAATTGGAGAAAAGCAGCCTCCAGTCGCTAGGGGTGAGAAAAACATCGGCTCGCCATCTCTGTGTACGCACTGACAAACCCCCGGCATGGCCTGGGCCGTTGTAGAGTCTCCAGTTTTCGCATCTGACAAACGGACGGCCGGCGTGGAGTCTCATTGAGCGGATGAACAAGCATTCGTGCTGCTTATTATGGATACCCGTCCCTTCTCTGGCCCATGATGAAGCAGAGACCGGACCAGATTTGGACGAGCGTACGAAGCCAGACAAGAGTTAAATCCGGCTCTGCCTGCTACGGCTTCTGTGTCTTGACCTTGCCGCTGCCGCGTACTGGGGCTCTCGAATGGTACCGAGGACATTATCTCTCGGACCTGCAGGTCCCTCAACTGATCCTTTGAGATATCCGTATGTCGCTCGTCTCTGTCACTCCTCAGTCCGTCTGAATCCCTTGTTCCTTCCCCCACCTGTCGGTTGGTGGTCAGGAAGCGAGGTTGAGGGTGCATACGTTTGTGTACGAATAGGCGTGCACCAGGCTGGGTGACGCCAGGGCTGCTTGACTGCTGCTTTTCAAGAGCATACAATGTAGAGTCTGACTCTTGATGGAGGGCCATTGTCGCTCTGAAGATTCTGATATCTGATGGATGGTGCAGCCAGGACCGTGACAGACGCAGTGCCGTCGCTTTTGCACTCACATTCTCCAGTCTGACCTGCCACATTGCGATGACCGGACCGACAGGGTAGACGTTCCATGATGCTCCTGATCCTTGCCTGACTTGGCCGGGGCGGATACTGTTTTCGTGATGATAACGGCCCCGGGGTTCGTCCTCGCAAAGAGGCGCGAATATTTCCCGTAGCTTGTAGATCGCTTGGCTTGGGGTTGAATGAATTGACCAGACAGAACGTGCGCAGGCAGGGCCGAACAAGCGGAAGAGCCACTGGCCCCCATGCTGCGTTGTCCTGTGCTTTACTGTGTACACAGTACTGAGCTGCGGAGTGCGTGCTGGGGTGGTGGAGATTTGGCGGATAGTATCCATTAATCATCAGCAAGCCAGTCGGTCTCCCGTCTCTTCCTGGTGGCCGACGGGAGCAGGAAGTAAAAGGCTAGAAACCCATTCTTTGCCATAGACCGGACCGGATGGGATGCACTGATACTAGATTGGCACACCCACCGCGACCGCTTCCGTGCCGGCCGAGCAGGAGGGCGTAGCCAAATTGTTCTTCGTGAAGGAACATGTGCATAGCGGCATATGACATTGGTTGCAGGAAATAGGAAGAAAGGCAGCACCCCATGATAACAGGTCGTATGCGGCACTGAATCTGGCTGGTGCCGGCCGCTATCTCGGGGTCCTTGACATCGAAAGTCTCTCTAGAGCATGGAGGCAGGCAGGCAGGCCACATCAGGCCGGACCGTCTTGCTGCATGCTGCAAGCCATGAATCCATGAACTTGATTTTGACCCTAGAATTGAGAAAAAAACATGCGAATTACTTGCATTTTCGTGAGACATTGATCAGTCCATCCTTCAAAAGTTCGGGCCTGACATCAGAAAGCACTCGCATGGTGTATGTAGGAGACGACAAGGACGAGGCAGCATGTGGATGGACAAATTAGGTGTGGTGTGCGAGAACAGCATAGAGATGCTTTAATGTCTGACTGTCGTGATCTCGATTGAACACTAGCCGAAGAAGACGAGACGAGGACTAGCCGCATCAGGACGGGAGGACGTCGTGCCTGTTTCCTAGAGAAGATAGGTATCCGTAATCGCATGCTCTTTGGGATGGTATGGCGTGGGCCCGAAGTTGCCTCGCAGAAGACATGAGGGCAGACGGGCGACAGCGGCTGGAGGTGACAGCCGGATCGGCCGTTCGGCAACGGCTGCCACATTCGGGTGCCCAGTTTGGTGAAGCCGTTGAGGATTGTGCGGGTGCAGTGCAGCTCGTCAATGCCTAGCATGAGGCATGATCAGATCCCGAGTCTGTCAATCTCTTCAGTCAACCTGTGGGTGCTTGCTAGTCAAGTAAGTAAGGTATTGCAGGTACCTTGAGAGCGATGATGCATTAGTGAAGAAAGGGAAAATGGTGGTTGACGAGGGGGGGGGGGGGCAAAGGAGGGGAAAAGAAGATGGATTGCATATTGACTGAGTCGATCCTCCGTTGTGGTTGAGGGCAGGCGGCAGGCGGCGGAGCGGCGGAGAGACATTCCATCAAGGCGGGCGGGAAGATGGAGATAGTGTGATGGGTGCAAATGCAACTGCAGGCCGGACCTTGGTAAGTATCAGAATTAGCACCTCTAGTCTGTGACAGGAGACCAGCAGAAGTTTCAAGAGTACCTCAGAATACCAAGAGTTGTATATATCCGTACATGGAGATATGAGAGTTTAGACGGCAAGATTGCCTGCCGTTGGAGAGTTGATTTTGAGTGGCTCGGGCTGGGCATGGAGTGCCTCTTTGGAGCGACTTGCCGGGGACATGTCTCAGTCTATTTTGGCACCTCATGATTGATTGTCTTGGATGGAGACGGTTGAGAGAAAGCCGCGCCTTAGCGGCTCCAGTGACGACTAGGTAGAGATGCCAATGATGAATGAGTGTGAGGGCGGGAGGGAACAAGGTGGAATGTGACGTGAGGCAAGTGAACAGTTGACTGGGCGTACGGAGTGGCCTGGACCACAGCTGGTGGTGTCCATATCTGCGGTTGGTCATCCATTGTCCGTCCCATGGATAGGTAAACAAACTGGCGTGTTCATATGTAAGTAAAGGTATGTGAGATGGAGGAGTGTGTGTGATCGCGCGCGTGTGTGCGTTTGTGTGCGTGTGTGCAAGTGCGGGTGTGTGTGGTGGTTCAGATGACATACTTCGGTGCTCAGGTCCTAACCACGATTACGTGGTTATCTTTCCCTCCCATTACGAGGTACCTAAGAAGAAGGCAGTTAGTTACCTACCTTCCACGGGAACCTTCCCATGGAAGTCAAGGCAAGGCAAAGCAAGGCAAAGCAAGGAAGGTGAGGTAGGTAAGGTAGGTACATTTGGGAAGCACGCACGTAGGGAAGGAAGCTTCATCGAGAAGCTCAGAGTGGCTACCTTCCTTGGACCATCTGATCCCAAGGTGGGAAAGTGTCTGTCCGTCTTCCCCGGTCCTGCCCTGCCTTGTTCCTCCTGCCTTGCACCTCCCTTCCATGAGGTAAAGTAAGGTAGAACGTCCCTACCCCGGATTCCGAGCCTGCCCTTGCCTCGATCTTGTATTTCTCAGCCCCGACTGCCTCATACCTTACACAGTAAGGTATGTCCATGGAAATCCGAGTAAGGTCCCTTAGGTACCTACCTACATTAAGTAAGCTACCTCTCGCCATTCTACCTACCTGCCTTCACTCAGCTAAGGTACCTTAACTAAGGTAAGTTCGGGTAGGACAGGTCATTATCAACAACAATGGCTCGCTGAGGTACGAATATTGGAAGATAGTATCCATAGGAACGAATGTGTGTCTACGGAGTAGGTACTTACTTCCGAGAACCTTTGACGTATTCCCAAAATACTAGTCTCTTGGCCAAGTACTCCGTAAAGTATCAATTATTCGCTTCGGTGCCGTGGATGCCAATTTCTTTCGGCTGCTGCGAGGGACATTGCGCCTGCCGCTAGATGAATGCTGCATGGGCTTCCTCCCGCCCCTCGAGCCCAGGTTGATTTGATGCACACATCATTCGTCCGTGGACTATCTTCAGAACCATCTGTCACTTCTCTTCTCTCAGGAGTCAAGACATACGTCTCCGCTGCCAAGGTACTTTGCACATTGGTATCCGTATACCAGTGTTGCTCTCTCGCTAGGTAACCCGACACAGATTGCTTAGCTCGAGGTCCCTCTGGTGAGTCTCACGGTTTACACATCATCTTCCACCACGCACAGGTTTTGGTTTTTTTTTGGTGTTTTTTTTATATATATTTTTTTACCGCTGACCAACCTAGGTATCCATCTCTTCCTGTCAGACAACGCTATTTGCTTCGGTCCTTCGTCTCAGCCAGCCCTCACTAGCCCTCGACCGAACAGAAACGACCATCAGACGACGAGCAAGAGAGGTAACGCCTGGCGCCCCTCTACCCTCGGCTGAGATATGGATGCAAGAGGCATGGATGTCTTCGACCTCGCAGCATACTCTATTTCTCCCACAGTCGCTTGCTGCTGCAATTTCCAGATCTTGCCTTGCCTCGGCCTCCTGTCCCGTACGCAATGGAACCGGCGGCCGCATGCGCCGTTCGGCAACATGGGCTTCGAAATGAACCACCCCCCGGAACCTCCCATCTTCCTTGCCTCTAGCGATCCCGGCCGTTGACGGATGCTAGTCAATCAATGTCCGCTCCTGGCTGACCCATTATCCGTACGGATACACAAGTACACTACTCCGTCCTGCGACGATATTCCTCCGATCCTCCACCATCGTCTAGGAAGCTGCGAATACAATTCAGCGTACCCCGTTTTCATCTTCTGTATGCTTACGGGTGAATCATGTCATCTTCACCAGGACGAGCCGCGGCCGCCTTCGCCCAAGCCGCAGCTTTCGTGAGAAAGAATACCTTGCTCTTTCCATCGCTCGACAATCCACAAAGTATCCCATCTTCGTCTCATCGCAATAGGGCCGACGTTGAGCGCCAGCTTCACGACAGCACGGGCGTGTGTCAACAAAGTACCTTGCTGTGCCTCTTGAGAGCTACGGTGCCTACTTTGGATGATTACGCCCTCCGACACTCACCATCGACCAGCATCGAGTAGAGGAGGGGCATGGTGTGCTGCATCTGGCCCCATCGGGAACTTGCTAAGAACCCACCACAGATCACCGTCGCAGGGAAGCTCGCCGTTAGCTCGACATTACGACGTGCTTGGGCGTTGGTTCAATGGCTCGCCGCACCCTCCGGTACGATGCTGGTCGGCTGCGACGCCTTGGCTGGCATCTGATTCCACCACTTTTGTCAACCACATTCCGTCACCCACTGCCTCTGCGTCGAATTCCATGCACTACCGAGCCAATGGATGCCATCCTGGCTTCTGTGCAGCCATGCCAAACGCCACTACGCCAGTCGCAACACTGTCGCTGTTGTTCGCCCGCGTTGGATTCCAGAAGCATGAATGGGCCCGAATCTGGGTCCGAGCCTTTGGTCTTCCATCAGATTCCGCCATCAGCCCCCTCAGGGCATTTCAAGTGATTGAATCTTGCATGGAAGAGTTACCGCCGATGCTTCACAATCGCCACTGTTACTTCACTATCGAGACTTGTCTGCAGGACTACCGTCGATAGAAACCCGCACCTGTTGATATACGTCGAACTGCATTGGTTCTTTGGACGGCAATTGAAACGACCCATCATACGCACACATACAATCCACTAGCGAAGTTGACGAACATAGCATGACTTGACACAGAAAAGTCGTCAAGTAAACAGGTTGTGGCTCAGTGTCCACCACGAGTCATGGCTTCTCGTGCGATTCTGGGCAGGCAACCTGCGACTCCGGCTGATTGCGGGATAAGCCAGCCCCTCGTCAACCTTTCCGCAGTCCGCACGCCTCCAGGCCGAGCCGATATGAGCGGGACCTCCGTCCTCGAGACATGCGACCCAGGATCAAGTTTGTGGACGAGGGGTACCTACATCGGTGCATGCATTCAGCGCCCCTCTCTAATCGCTAGCCTGCCCAGCCTCGCTATCTTTTCCCGCACCGCAGTTTTCTGCCACAGGGTGAACGCTCCAGCGCAGAGCGTTACGAAAGAGTGATTGCTTGGTCTCTGTCTTCTTGGTTCGAATGCTTTTGAGCCAGGTCAACCTTTGCGTCTGGGCCACGAACATGTTAAAGCAGCCCTAGCTATGTCACGAATACTGTGTTCGAGGGATGCATCGGAGCCATGGATGAACGGATCATGGTTGACCACAAAAAGAGGCCTTACGTGCCCAATTATACGCATCATCGCCCGCACTTAGTCAACCTCAAAGGGTCGAGGCTCACAGAGACATCATTACCTATGCCTGGGGCAGCAGATCGCCGCTTTCCCTGGTTAATTTAGAGCGCAAATCGCGACTGATACTCTGGGGCAGAGACCAGGGATCTCCCCAGAATGTTTTAGCTCCTTCGGACACAATCCATGTTACTCCTCCTGGCGTGCTTGAAGAATGCCACGGCCACCTGGTTCGGATGACACACGGACCTTAGCACGGTGCAGGCGTCAACTGCCCGAGAAACGTCTGAAATCAAGACCCCGGAAACTGTCCGCACACATAGCAGCCGCAAATTCGCAGTCGCTTGTACGAAGAAACAAGGCAGCTATTCGAAACAGAGCTCCATACTGAGAGAATCTTGTTCCTAAACTGAACATGCCCTTGCTAAGTTCCACGCGCCATGTCTTGAGGGGAAGTTGATAAGCCAGAAAGATCTCTGCAGAACCGAACCTCTAGACGGACGGAACCCCCTCCCTCTGGATTCGAGGTAGAGGAAGGATGTGACACAAAACTCACCCTTCGCTCTGCTCCGTCGGACGGTTTCTTCAGGGTCCACTGTCTTGCCTATGCTCACACACTCCCTCAACGGTGACTGGAACGAAGCTTGAACCCACTCGGAAAACTCTGCATAGAGTCGCGGCATGAATATGCACGCTGTCATATCGTCTGGCGACTTCATTCCTGCCTCTGAAAGTGTGGCTTCTGTCACTTTGTGAGCTGTCATGTATTCACAGAACAGTCGCAGGTGCCGTCCGTATTGCAAATGCATATCTATTTTGGACGTGCTTACAAGCTTCTCGTACAGACTCCTGTCAATGACGCATCCTAGAACCCCGACAGCCTCAGCTCGAGACGAAGATGAGGTCAAGTCAACTCACAAAACTGAGCAGCTTGATTCCTCAAGCTCAAGCCTACTTGTGGCCTGATTAGATCGCGATCTGATGCGACCAAGACCAAGGGAAGATCATAGCTGGCATGAACTCCTCACATCTCAGCTGTTCGTCACCTCCACAGTGTCAAGGTCCCTGCACTATGCAGTGTAATATACACAACTGTCAGGCTTGTCATCACTGATACCGGCTCTGTAGTCAAACCTCTTGGTGGCCAACATCGGAACTGCGGGCAAGTTGCGCCGGCAGACCCGGTGCGCTGCAAGCCGGCATTCGCCAATATCAGGGCCAGGAAGCGAGAAAGAGGAGTCTAGAACACCGTTTCCTTCTGAGAGAGGCGCTCCAACCGCTCCCAAGCCACCGGATCTCCATGACCTGATGCCCAGTAGGAGAGTTGCATGATAAGAATTTCAGCTCGATAAATTTCTCGTAAATCGCTGGCACTCTTCCCCTCTTCGCAGTTAACGTTCTATCCAGAGATGGCCAAGAACTCGGATCCTCTACTCTTCCTTGGATGTAGTGATGGTCGCAAACTTCCTGTCGACCAAGAGAACCCGTCCTTTGGTCCGCTTCTCGTTCATCCTCACGCCTAACAGTATCGTCTCAGCAACTACCGTCTCATCTCGTCATTTTGGTGCAGCCTTCTTGGGCTACTGTGGCTTATGTGATTCTCTCTAACCGTTTCTCCGTCATCGTACATCAAGCCCCAGTCGCTTGGGTGCCGCAAAGGACGCTCACGGTATGACCCTCATGGAAGGCTACCTAGACAGGCTTCGATTCCATATCCGGATGATCCATACACCCACGCGGCCTGTGATGGATCCAGGCCCTGATGACAGCGCATGGTGGTATGGGTGGAATCGTGCGGGAAGCGTGTCCCGGGGAAGCAGGCAAGCACTTTCCGGAGGAGTCGATCTTGGATGATGCGCATCCAACCTCCCAATTTCATGCAAACCCGTTGCTGTTTTGTCTGGTTAAAATCCTATTGCAGCTCCAACCGTGCCTGGTGAGCCACACAGACGACGTATGGACATGCATCCGCCAAGGAAGACTACTCTTGTGAGCAACTTCCCCCATTCTATCTCCGCTCTGTCATAATGAATTCGACCATTTGCTGCGCCAGGCGCACAGTATGAATGTATGCCAACGTAATGAGTTGTCCAATTCTGACGCATGTCTCACAGGTTGCAAGGACCTGGGGTCGATGCGACATCGTCAATTTGGCAGTATCCGTACTGAAGATGAGCTATCGTCTTTTCTATCCTGGACAGTTTCCAACAGCTTCTGGACACTCTCTACCTCTGGGAAGAATCAAACCAACTTGAGAGCAATACAAACTTTGCCCGCATACGAGAAGTCAGCAGTGTAACACACGACGCCTCCCATGGTGTTGTACATGCAGCGGCACGGCGGCAACCAGGGCCAAACCCTCGCACAAATCTACGAGGTTCTGCTAGCTTTGTGAATGAGCGGCACTACAGCAGCAAAAGGGTCTTTGGCCAGGTTCTGGAATCCTCGGGTTTCGAGTCACACAAGGGAGCATGCATAGTAACCTACGTGCCAACATGCGACATGGCTATTGAGGACAACCGTCCATAGGGCTGTGATCCCTTCCAACCCCTCTTCTTGTGCTGAATATTTCGATATATCTTGGGCTCATCAAACGATATTCGTGATGGTAAGCCATTGAGTCTCGTTGTTACGCCAAGGAGAGATTGCTTTTCCAGACTAGTAATGATAGGAGCTGCATGAAATGGCTCAACCATCGACTCGGACATGTCCAGGGGCTGGCCCCTTTTGCCCCAGGTCAGTCAGGCCTCCACATTGAGGCTCTCTTTCGTCAGGAACGAGTGACCAGATACGGCTCGGGGACTTTCTTCCAGGCTGTCTCAGCCCAACTTCTGCGGTCCTGGAGTTGGACTGTCATGGGATCTATGCGATTCGTTTCCTGGAGGCACGGCAGGGCGGTCCAGCCGCTGGTAGGCTCGTTCAAGATTTCCGGATGCTTGTCAAGTGACTCTGGCGTCCTGCTCTTTCCTAAATCGACCCTTCACGCTATCTCAAGCCCTGTCCACCTCGTGAGGTGTGCTCAGGATCATCGCCAACCTTTTCCACTCTCGCCACATGCCCCGCAGCCCAGAGTCGTTCTCACGATGATTACTGGCGAGGTCCTCGGATCATCGACCCCAATTCCTCGAAGTGCTTACCGGATTTGTCTTGGGTACACAGGCGGGCATGCCGTGGATTCGAGGATGAAGGATCCGGATCTGCAAGAGCAGCGTCGAAGACGGCATCGAGGGCTACAGCAGACTACCTCGGGGGTACATCTCTCACCCTGGATCCCGTCCAAACCCCGACCCTCACGCGAATAGCCCGAGTACTAAGACATGGCTGTACCCTCTGTCTGCACGGGGTGTCTTTGCAAGCGCGTCCTGGTGCCAGACCGGGATCCAGGGGACCACCTGTGCCCAGGGTAGGTTGTCGGTTATTAGGGTCCGTGAAAGACTCTCGTACGATGAATTTCGGCTTGGTGAAGAGGCTGTTTATTTCGAGTGGCAGATAACGACGCCCCGAGCCGACACGTGGGTCCAGTGATAATCGTTGTCAGTATGGCTTTCAACTGGAGGTGGGCCTCGCGTGAAACGGCTTTGGCGCCCTCGCCGAGGACCCTTGGAAGGCGAGCCATGGGGGGAAGCAATATCCCGCTTCAACTATGGTAAAGACGGGCTGTTCTTTGCTAAAGGGGAGTCCACTGTGAGCGCGACGTAGGATGGGGTTGCTGGCGCTCGCCGAGCATACAAATGTGCCCGAGATATGACAAGTGTTGACGAATACGACTCTTGTTTGCTGCCGACGAGCTTACTTTGAGGCAACGCAAGAGTACGAGAGATGAAATGCGGGACCTTTCATGTCGTCGGCCATCTTAGGAGACTGGTAAGCTAAGGTCGCGTCTTCCGGATAGGAGGTCGCGAAGACAGCAAGGCGGGCTGTGCGGATGAACGGGGCTCGATACTGAGAGTAGGACCTACAGACGGCAAGCTTCTTGCTTGCTTGCTTGCTTGCTTGCTTGCTTGCTTGCCGTCGAAGAGCAAGGCAGCGTGTCGATCTGAGGAGGCGTTGCCGATCTGCGATTAACTATGGTCAGGACGGTCGCCGGCGAGGTATTGGGCCGGGGGAGAAGCGGCTCGGGGTCGTTCGGCAACACGGCGTGCGGCTCATCGTGTACGTTACTCGGAGGGGATCGGCCATGGTAGTGAGCATCTGGTGTAGCTATCTGCTCCCGCTGCGGAGTTTCCACACGGACCTAAGTCCAAGAGGCTCCGTCACTCTGTAGACTTCATCTGTGGCCAGCTCGCAGGTTCGAGTATTTTGCTTCGAGGCGGCGTGCTTCAAGGCCCGGACTCTTCTGATATGCCACCGTGAGACTGTTCCCTGCCCTGTCCATGAAAGCTGTCACGAGCCATATCGAATAGGTATACGGCATTCGGGCGTATGTTATCGTAGGAAATCGCGAACATGCCGGCGAGGCACACGTCTCGGGGTCAGCATTTCGGACAAGGAGAAGATCGGAAGAGAAACGCAAAAGCTGAGCCATGAACATCGATCTGGGCACACCGTAGTATTTAGAGAGAAACTCTGTCATCATTCATAAATAACAAATCCGCATCCCACTCGGTCAGACGACCATCATCCCCTTATCAAAAGCCAGTTCACCGGGAGGGGGAGGGGCAGGCTGGGGGGGCAAAAGTTGGCTCACTCCATCCCCCCAAGCGTGTAGGTACCCTTTTTTTTCCTTGACCGGTATGCTGTAATGGGCAACATCGGTGAGGCTGTATGCCATCGAAAACGAATGGTGCCATGACGGAAGGGCGGAAGGGAGGGGGATGGGGAAGAGGCAAGCAAAGCAAGCAAAGCGAGCCGCAAGCAAGCGTGGGGTTGCGCTGTCATTCTCACTCATTGCACACTTTCTGGCTCTGCTTAGCCGAGCGAACGAACAGCCCACCCACCACCCCCGCGTTTTTCGAATCCCTACTCACCGATGTAAGCAGCCCCCTTGAGCATCTTCCCCCCTCCATCGGTTATGGCGAGGAAAAAAAACACATGACGGTTTTTGTGGTCGTCATTCATCAGCGATGGGCTCTCACCGGTGTGGATATCGCTTGCGTTGAGGGGGAATGGGATGGAAGAGGGGCTTTATTCAAGGATGAGATATGTTGTTTATTGGGCTGGGCATTGATGTGTTTCTTACAATTCTGAAGGTGTTTAAAGGCTTGTATGAGTGTTTCAGAGTTGAAGTCATATCTGACATGTGTATATGCACCTGCTGATGTGCCTCTTCAGAACTGGACACTCCCATATCGTATTCATATGTGCAAGACGCTTGCAGCAATTACTAGTTTCTGGCACACTCGTTCTGGACTGGGTGTATCCAAGGCTTGACATCATTGAGTCTTGGGTATATGGGCTGCACCCTCTGGATCTTGTGCCATCTTCCTGTCTCCGCGTGATGCATATCAAGTGGAGGAGGATAATAGCCCATCCCTCTGACTTGCAACGACGAAAAGATAGTGGTCGAGAGAGTAGGCCATCATAGAACGTTTGTGCAAAGCCATGTATTTCATGCTCTCCCAGCACAAGATAGTCGCACCATCTGGTGCCTCACGGCATTCAACATGAATCTAGGGATGCTAAAGCCATGCTCATGTTTCTGTACCTTGGTAGTCAACGTAAGGCGGATTTGATGTCCATGACCAGCATTCGTAAGGCTGATCTTTGAAACCTCGCTCAGGAATGTAGCCCTTGCGAAAGAAGTAGTAGAGCAACAAGAAATGTGAAGAATCGATGTACTGTATGTTTCTCATGAGCTTGGAGGAGACAATTGTTATGCAGAGACGGATACTTGAGAGATGAATTGCCCCAAAAAAAGGATTGAGGCTCAAAGTAACGGTCTCAAAATACTGTTTATCCGGGAGGAGCGCAAACGAGGTGAGAGGCTGATGAAGTTTAAAAACGTAGATTCATAATTACTCGTCACGTGGAAGACACAGGCAGGTTTTCGTCTGGAAAGGAAAGTCAGGAGACATTCGTTGGAAAGGAGTACGAACGACCTACATGTATGTTCTTGGTTATCTACTTTCTCCTCGAGGGTACAGACTGAGCTGATGAATCATCTTATCTGCCACTATTCACTTGACCTGCGATAGAAGAAGCGAGGTACGCAGACCGAAAGGAACTACCTCACCTACTCAGTGAATCATCATCCCGCCGAACGTGTATTCCCACCACAATACACCACAACCACAAGCTCATATATACCCCCTCAACTCCATTTCCTTCACCAGCCAGCAGGCGATCCCCTAGGTCGAGGGGTCAGGTCGAACTGGCTGGGTGGTGGAGTGGTCTATGGTCAACAATCAATACGCCTATAAGCCTCCTCGACGACAGGCTTACCGAGTTTCCGATTTCGAGTCCCAGCATGTGCACCAAGAGATGTAACCACACCGGTGACGGTCTCTTTTTTCCTTTATTTATTGAATTTTATTAGGATTTGATATCACGCCAAACTAGTAGCCATCTGTGTCCGGGTCTCGCAAATATGTCCTGCCGCGCTGGGCCAGTCTATGAAAATCCCAGTGCCCATCACTTTGGAAATATATAGGAGATGTCACAAGATACTGCCGGCTCTAACCTCTCTGAAGCGACTTCTCTAGCATTCCCAGACGCAGGTAGTCTCATGCTCTGCATCGCGGCAAGACTAAATCCCAATGACATCTGCGGGAGCTCCGACAGCCCGGTGATGCTGATCAAGATGAAGCATAGACGTCTCGAGACCTGGTCTCTAGACCTCTGATGGCGAAAAAAAAAGCTTCAGGCATGCGCATCGCAAGCCGTCTCACGTTTGAAGCTACTTTTAACTCCAGAACTGCATCAGAGTCCTTCGCGGGGACCATGAAAGAAGACTCGAATGACACAGGTTCGATCCTCTATAGGAAAACTCCGGATCACCAAGTCGTCGTGGGAAAACAGATACCGATTTCTGACCACCGGACCACCCAAAACGACACTTCGCGCATGACAGATATTACACAAGAATGCCGTGCCATGCCATCGAACGAACGAGACACATTCGGATGAAGCCTCCGCATGCCAGGATCACTAAGCTCGCGCAGGTTCGCCATGGCATATGCATTGCAACTCATTCAACGTTTTGAGAGTGTCGTCTAACAATAAGTATCAAGAGCATTGCATAATGTATCGAAACCACATTACTGTACTATCTTTGGTTCGCCCTAAATATTCACTGCCTGAAAAATGAATTGCTGGAGTTGGCCATTGACAGACTGAACATGTAAGGTTATCAAGGCATATGAATGAAACGGAAATGCCAACGTGTTTCGCAAAAAAAAGGGTCAGAGAGCCATGGGTGATCTCTATGATCTCTGTGACGACTGTGTGAAGTTGACAAGACGTCGTTCCCCGCAAACAAGCTTGTCTAGCTGAAGTCCTTTACGCATAGTAGGGACTTGTAAACTTTCTCACCATCATCAGATCACCGGCTGATCCCGTCGCCATAAAGCCTACGGCGATCTTGACAGACAGAAGAAGATGGCACCTATCATTGACTGACGAAAACTCGAGAAACACGGCACCAAATGTGAGGCAAAAAAGTAAGCTTTTCTTAGGATGATCTGTATGCCAAGGCAGCCTAGGTAGAACATCTAGTTTCGTTCCGGTCCGGGGAACTGATCAACAGGGACCACCACTTAGCGGCGGCCCCGGCAGCAGTAGGAAGCGATGTCGATCGTAACACCAAAACAGAAGAGTAAGGTACACCCCGTGGGCCGAAGGGGCCGATCTAGCTGAGGCCAGCAACTTTTCTCAAGAATAACGCATCATGAAATTGAGGAGAAAAAATCACTTCAATCTCTGACTTGTGTGTCTTTTGCCATCCAGGTAGGTACCCCGCGGAACCAGCTAACACACGGCTATTCCACTGGTCCAAGTGCTACCTCCATCATGCCTCGATTAAGCCATTCCGATGAACTGCTCTACAGACCTCCAAGGCGTTGAAAGAATAAAGCCGAAGCAGAGATATTTTGGTCCGATTCTTGATATTTTGGGTACATAACTCAAAAAAGAAAAACAAAGGCCTACAACTTTGCCAGAAGCTGGGAACCAACAACGCCGCCGGACGTCGAGACCCCGTCGGAACAGGAGACTTTGGGAACGGGAGAGCGGCTGGGCTATTTTGAGGTATATGCTCATGCTCCCATGCTGCGGGCTTGCAAATAGTCCCCGTACGTACATACGCCCGGCATGCATCGATGCCAATCCACATATGTTCACCGAGAAGAGGGGAGGAGGGGAGAGAGATAGCGGGGAGCCTGTAAGCAAGCCAAGAGGCTGCAATAAACAAAGAGGTCGCGCAG